GCAGTGAATCCGTCTGGGCCTGGGCCCTTTGTAGGTAAGGACTTAATTACATTTTGAATTTCATTGATAGAAATTGGATTATTCAGCAGTTTTACATCTTCTTGACCTAGCTTTGGTACTTCATATGTTTCTAGGAATCTGTCCATTTCTTCTGTGTTAGTGAACCTATGAGAGAGGGGTTTTTGAAACAGGTGTTGATGATCTTCTGTATTTCCTCAGGGTCTGTAGTGATTTCGCCTTTTTCATTCCTTATTGCATGAATTTGAGCTTTTTCTTTCCTTTTTAAAATATGGTTGGCTAGGGCCTTATCAATTTTATTTATTCTTTCAAAGAACCGACTCTTTGATTCATTGATTCTTTGGATTTTCTTAGTCTCTATTGCATTGATTTCTGCTCTGATTTTTATGATTTACTCCCTTCTTTTGGCTTTGGATTTGACTTACTCTTGTTTTTCTAGATGTTTGAAGTGTAGCATCAGGTTGTTCATTTGTATTCATTCTGTTTTCCTGATATGGGAACTCAGTGCAATAAATTTTCCTCTGAGGACTGCTTTCATTGCATCCCACAGATTCCAGGAAGTTGTATTTGTATTTTCATTTGCTTGTAGGTATTGTTTAATTTCTTCTTTAATTTCCCTGTGACCCACTGATTGCTCAAGACTGTGTTATTCAATTTTCAGGTGTTTGTGGGGTTTTTGCAGTTTCCTTTTTTTTTTTTTAGGAGCTAGACTCTTTTTTATTATTATTTAAAGAGAAAGAAACAAAAAAATGGAGAAAATAAAAAGGGTAGAAATAATACAGAATTACAGAGAAATAAACAGTAAGAAATCACTAGTTGATAAGTTACATATTGTAATCTTAGAAATAGTTGTTCAGGTTACAAAATTAAAGCATACAAAGTGACATTCAAATAGTGACACTGCCAACAGTTCTGCTCAATGATCCAACAAAAACTTAGTAATATGCTTATCAGTCCTACATACTTCATTTTTATCTTAAAGAGGGTACAATAAAACATATCAAAATGAACAAAATGGTTCAGAAAGAAATAATTTAAAGAAATACAGATTTCAAAGCAAGTCCACTGGAGATCTTCACTGTCTATCTTATTGTCTGTAGTTTTCTTCCAAATAGTTGTCCCCATCTTCACACACATTGAATACATAATGCATATTATGGAACTAATCAAATCATTACAGGATGACAAAGGCTTTTTAGGTCTTCAAGACTTGATTTTGGGGAAGTCAATAATGACCACCATAATGTCTCTCATTCTCTTCATAGTAGCTGTCTTTATCTTTACGTAGGCTGAAATTGAACTGAAGAGACTAGATTAATATCACTCGGAACAGTGAATAATTGTTTTGCTAGATTTTATATCATAATGTTACAGAATTAGCATTGGATTTCTTAGTGTCTCTTCTTCAGAGTATCTGTTCATTACATCTTGCATTATATAATATATTACTGTAAATAATTTAAAAAATTCTTCCCATGTATGAATTTCTATATGTATATCTATCCTCTCTGTATTATAGGGAAAAACAGATCATAACAAGACAGCAAAACAAATTCTTAGAAAAACATGCAATGAAAAAGACACATAAGACCGCAATATTAGGTGATCTACCGTAGTTACTATGCTTTCTCTTGTTATTTTCAATAGACTTGTCCACATCATCAGGCTTAATACAGTTAAGCATAGTATTACATAGCTATTTTTATAAAAACCAACTTTGAAAACATTGTAGCACTTGAGAGCGATTAGTAATCAAAACTGGTATGGATATCTTTTACATCTTGTCATCTTCAGAGTAGTTGCCTCTACTTTTAGACTTGATACTATCAAGCATACCAAATTCGAATAAAATCAGCCAAGGCAAACTTACGGTCTAACAAACCAGATTCAAATAAGATCAGTCATAGTGAGTCAATGTAAGTAACACAGGGTTTCATTTTATGTTAATAGGAAATTAAGGATAGTTACCATGGTACAACTTGCTATTTTTGGGTCGGATGTCTGTGCCCTCAAATCTAAGTGGACAGACCAGAATAAAATAAAATCAAACTAAACAGTGATAAGACTACTGTGACTTTTAAATCCTGATACACTATTAACAATGACTTCTGCCTTCCTTTTTTAGGCTATTTTTCACCTTTCCTCTTCTCAGAATGCTTTGTATGTTTTGGGTTTCACTAGCCCCTTTAGTTTTTAGACTAGGGGGCCAGACCGTTGTCTATCTAATTGTTGCTGAACCTTTCTACCCCTGAGCTTGATCTTGAGCTGTACTCCTTTACTCACTAAAGTCATAGGGTTTTCCTTCCTTCCAGCTGTGCAGTCCTATACTGCCCAAATGTGTCATAGCTTTCCAATCTATCTGTGGCTGCTGGGTGAGTTGTCCCTATTTCTCTTTGGTTTCCTGTCACATATAGCTTTGCTTTCTCATCTTTGACTTTCAGTTTACTAACCCTCCTTCGAGTTGAGTGTATCTCCCATTCAGAACATCTCAATGGAGCCTGCCTCCTAAGCTACTCTACCTGTTTTTTTTTTTTAATTTTAGTGTATGAAGGCTATCTATATTAAAGATTATAGCTTACTGTCTCTGCCTCATGTCTGCTACTCTACTTTACTGCTATAATTTGTTCACCTTACTCCCTCATTCCACTGTCTGCCCTGTTCACTGAGGCCTCTCTGCCACTGTTGCTAGAATCCTGGTATCCTTTCCTCTCTCTCTCTGGAATGTCCTTCAGTATTCTTTGTAGGGTTGGGTTGGTGGTCATGAACTCCCACAGTTTCTCCTTTTCTTGGAAACATCTTATTTCTCTATTAATTTTGAGAGAGAGTTTTTCTGGGTACATTGGTCTTGGTTGCAAATTATTTTCTTTCGGGACTTGGACTATTTCCCCCCAGGCTCTTCTCGATTTGAGAGTTTGTGTTGATAAGTCTGTTGTTATTTTGATAATTTTTCCATTGTAGGTAATCTGCTTCTTTTCCCTGGCTGCTTTTAGTATTCTATTATTTTGGTGGATTTCTGGAATCTTGATAATCATATATCTGGGTATAGATCTGTTCTGCTTGTAGGTGGCTAGAGTTCTGTATGCCTCATTTATTTGGATATCATTTCTTTTTCCTATACTTGGAGAATTTTTCCTTTAATATATCTGTGAATATTCTTTGTAGTTCAGTTTTGGTTACTCCTGCTTCCTCACTAACATGCTTTATTCTTAAGTTACGTATCCTTTTGTCATCTTCTAGCCTTTGAATTGTTTTTTTGATTCCTCATTATTTTTAAGAGGTCTTTTCTTTCATGATCATATATGATAAATCTTTGTTCATGTTTCAAAAGGCTAACTTTAGTTTCTGTCAAGGCATTTTGCCAGCTTTCAATGGAGTTTTTAGTTTCCTTGTAATGTCTTTGGATCTGTTTCATGTAGTCTAGGTTATATTTAAATTCTTCATCAGAAGTTTCTCTTTCTTTTCTGATTTCCTCCATTCTTCCATCTGTGTTCTCTTGGGAGGGGCTTATGATTTCTTTAATTAATCTTTTTATATCTTGCCTCACTTGGATCAGAAGTATAGTTTTAAATTCATCTATGAGGTCATGAAGGTATTTCTTTATGTCTGCTGATGCTGTGTCTCGTATTGGATGGTTACTGCACTGGTTATCTTCTGTATTTACTTCTCCTGGGCTTATTTTCCCAGGTTTGGCAGCTGGAGATTTTTTTTATTTCTACCTCTTGTCATGTTTCTGGTTTCTTTCAGACTGGTGTGTCCTGGGGGTCTCTGGCCCACTGTGTATTGCTTAGGGTTTTTCCGAAGTGTGCTGACTGGAGTTTTTGCTGCCCTCCCCAATTTGCTGTTATCTGAGGTACATGCAGGGATGCAGGGACAGTGCAGGCTAGCCTCAAGCCTCTGAGCCAGTCAATCCACAAGTTAGGCTGTACCTTGTGGATGTCACAGAGTCTTGACAATTTTGTACCTGCTTATTGGGTCCCAACTAGAGGCGTAGCTCAGCTCCAGAAGACCCTGCCAGTTCTCTCTGTGCCAGGGGTGACTGACTGATGTCAACATGGCACCAGGCTCTTCCCAACTCCAAGCTGTCCTCCACCTAACCTCTCTGCCTCAGGGGCAACTATCTGACGTCACTGCCACACCGGCCTCTGCCCAATTCCAAGATGTCCTCCAGCCAGAGACAGCAGCCAGTCCCTAGCACTCACTGGGAATCAATGGAGATCTTCCCTTGGGTCCACTGCACATTGTGCTCCATGTCTTCACTGCATTCCCAGCACAGCGTGGTTCAGTAAGAAAACTGCATAGTGTCTGGCTTCAGAGCCCAGGAGCTTCTCACAGTCTCCTCTGGCATGACCAAGGTGGCTCTGGCTTCTTCGTGGGGCCCCAAGTCCCATTTCCAGCAATTGCTGAGAGCCAATTTAGCTCTTCCCCTTGGATCCACTACTCACTGTGCTGCGTCCTCCTGTTAAGGGCCCGGGATTCGCTGAATTCCATTATTGGCAGCTGCAGTCTCAGTGTAACCTTGGATCCTCCAGGCACACCTAGTACAGAGTGGAATGGGTCTCAGTGAGTGCATCGGGCTTCAGCTCTCCATCTGCACTTTTCCTTCCTCTTCCTAGTTTTATTTTTCCCTTTGGTTACCACCTTGGTTAATAAGAATCATTATCCATTCATCTGGCTCTCTCCATGTTGTCATGTTCTAGCATCTGATCTGATTTTTCAACAGAGACTCTGCATCCAGTCCCCTAGAAAGCCACCATTTTTTCTCTCTGTTTATTTTATCACTAATTTCTAGTTTCATAGTGCTATGATCTGATAACATGCATGAGATAATTTAAACTCTTTTGCATTTATTTAATGTTCTGTAGGTTGTTCTGTAGGTTGTGTAGGTTGATCCGGCCTGCAGATCAAGTCGTGGGTCTTGCCTGGAGAGAGAATGGGGATGGGGGGCAGGGCAAAAGGACAGAGAGAGGAGACAAGATGAAAGGTTCCAATCAAGTCTCGTTTATTCAGGAAGTGTACATGGCTTATATAAAGCCCAAGGGAATGTGGCTTTATAGGATAGGTCAGTTTAGATCTCCTCATATGACGTGGACTTATCAGATTAGCAGGAAACCATGTATAGGCAACTAGGTAAGGGGAAGTACGCAAGCATGAGAAGATCATGGGAAATGTAGGCGGACATGGCAGAGGCTCACAGGAAGGCGAGATAAGGTGGCAGCAGTGAGATATGCCACTCCCTACCTCTCCTCCCTTTATATTTATAATATCAAGAGTATAGCAGGCTTTGTGAGGATGGCGCCTGTCTTGGGTCATAGTCTCTATTTGTGACCCCAACCAGGCCTTTCCTGTCATGGGCCTGCAGGATAGCAGCTGGTCCTGTGCCTGTCTTAGGCAGCTTGGAGGTGTGACACAAATGTCCAAGTTGCCCATCTTTGGCTGCCTGTTCAGTGCCTCAAGGCATTAGGGCCACATCATTATGTGGACCATCCGTGGATGTTCTTTCCCAATAAATTTGTTGTTCTGCCATCTCCAATTGATGGTAATGTACCTGAATGGGCTTTGCCATAAATGCGTCAATCCTGTTATTAATGAGTGTCATGATCCTCTGGAAAATACAAGGGCCTACAGTAAGGAGTAGCAATAAAGCAGCTAGGGGTCCCAAGAGGGGGGCAATGTAAGGGAAGAGACCCCCTCACATGGAAGAGAAGGTAGTTTATCTGAGGTGCTCCTTTTCTCTCTCTTTGAGGCATTCTCTTAGTTTAGTCATTGACTCTCTGATGACTCGCATAAAAACAGAATTCTTCTTTGAGGGTAGCACAAAAGCCATCCTTCTTCATAAATAGGAGGTCTAGTCCTCTTCTATTTTGTAGGACTACCTCAGATAAAGATGTCAGAGATGCCTGTAAAGCCATTACAGATGTTTCTATTTCTTTTAAATCTTGATCTACTGTCGCCTGTAATTGAGCTAGATATTGATTTCCCAACACTAGAGCTGTAGTCCCTGTTCCTATCCCCGTTGCAACTCCTAACCCTAGTAATATAGCTAAGGTGAGTGTGGCAGGTTCTCTTTTATATATATAGTCAATCTGTGATGCCTGGAGGTAGTAGTCTCCTGGGTGGAATGTTATGCGAGGAAGAACCTGTACAAGAACACAAAATCTATAGACTTGTTAAAAACAGTAGTTGCTATACAGGGTGAGAGGCCAAAATTGCAGGCCCAAGACGTTCCTGGGGAAGGGATGAGGTAATTGTTTGTTGGAACTCTGAATGAAGCTGGGCACAGAGTCCTGCTGCCAGTGCTGGTGGGTGGCTGGAGTCCCTGAGACAGGTCCCTCTACCAGAGATGTCAGGAAGAGTCAGCTTGTGGTGATTGTCCCAGTCACAGGCAGATGAGCTAGAAGAACTGTTAAAGGTTAAATTGAGGGCCTTTCCTTCATAATATGGGGGAGGAGCAGTCAAGCATAGCCAACAGGATTGGGTGAGATCAGGTTGTGTGTGATTTAAGGCAGTGTACACCCCTTCAACCAAATTGAACAGGTTAGAATTTGGATACTGGGGGGTAGGTATGAGATCTAATTGGTGTATGGGGGTTGGAGTGGATGGGAAGGCACAGGAAATGCTCAGGGTTGGGTGACCTATAGTGGTTTTTTGGACAGCAGTAATGGGATTTCTATTGGATGGATTGTAGTTTGGCTTTAGAACAAGATTTGGGCCTATGGGCATGGATGAAATCTGTAGAGGAGCCTTTTTTATGAGAATAAGGCTGCCCCTGTCTGAGCCAGATTTGTGATATCACATTCCCCAGGTGTGCCCTGTCAGCCAGCCAGTTTCATCAGGGCCATTCCAGGTGTTGGTTATTGGGTCCCGCCATAACACAGAGGCAAATTGTGTGTGTCTGCGTGTGCCAGAAGCGAGATGCCGTGGAGCAGCCTGAGGCATCCAGAGATAAAAAATTTAAAATGAAGAGGGTATGTGAGAGGATATTTCTGGGAGACCCTCGGGTTGGGTACCAGGTTCCCACTTTTATTTTATCTATGGTAGATTTGAGGGACTGATGTGCATGTTCAACAATACCTTGTCCTTGAGGATTATAGGGTATACCTGTAGCATGGAGAATGTTGAGGCATTTGCAAAATTGAGCAAAAGAAGTGCTGGTATAGCCAGGGCCATTTTCTGTTTTGAGCTGTTGGGGACATCCCAGGATGGAGAGGGCTGACAGCATGTGGGCCATAACATGTTTGGTAGCCTCTCCTGTCTGAAGGGTGGCAAAAATAAAACTGCTGTATGTATCAACAATTACATGTATATATTTTAAGTTTCCAAATTTATTGAAATGTGTAATATCCATTTGCCATAGGGCGTTAGGGATTAAACCTTTTGGATTGACTCCTAGATGTTGAACAGGTAGCTGAGTAGCACAAGAGGGGCAATTTTTTGCAATTTGTCGAGCTTGTTCCCGAGTGATTTTGTGGAGGCGGCGAAGGGTTTGGGCATTGAGGTGGTGTAACTGATGAGTCTGTTGGGCCTCGGATACCTTAGAGTCTTCTGTGGGCTCAGAATGGGTCATGAAGACCTGTGCCCTGAGTAAGGGGACCCGGGAGGCCAGAATGAGCTCTTAAATGACCAATGAAAAACTTATGACTGCAAAGTTGAATCATGTCTTGTAATTGTTTGAATAGGTTTGCAGCTCGGGAGACATGACTTATGGTGGCAACAGTTTCTAATAATGGAACAGATTGCGCGAGGTAGGCACTATCAGTAAACAAATTGAAGGGTTGGTCGGGGTAAGCAGTAAAAACTGCAAGGATAGCCTGTAGTTCTGCCAGCTGCGTGGATGATGTATCTGTCTGTAGGGAAAGACACTGTTTTGTGCTATTTGGAGGGTAATGATTATCAATGGTCCCTGAGAAGGAGGCTAAAGCAATAGGCTATGCCTCAGTGGTCTGGAGCAGCCAGTCTACCTGATCTTTGGTGAAGGGTTGAATGATGACATCTGGTTCTTTTCCAAAATAACATTTTCCTAGCTTTCTGCCTGGAATTATCAGGTCAGAGACCACTTGGTAGTAAGGCAACAGTACTCTCTTCGGGGAGACTGGCAGATGAAGCCACATAAGGGGAGCTTGCTGCCAAAAAACTGCTGTGGGAGAGAGTTTTGTGTTAAAAATGAGAAATTGTATTGGCTTGTTATAATCTATGAAGGAGACAGTTTGTTCGGTGATATCCTCTTCCACTGTGTGGAGTATTTTTCTAGCATCGAATGTGATGCTTGGGGGGAAGTTGGGTCAGTGTCTCCTTGGAGGATCTCATAGAGGGGTTGTAGATCATATTTTGTCAATTTTAAATAGGGTAAAAGCCAATTAATATCACCCAGAAGCTTTTGAAAATAATTGTCTCAAGGTTGTCAAGTCTTAGTTGGGGCTTTGGTGAATATATTTGAGTGCTGTAGCTGGAAACCCAAATATATGTATGGGTCTGTAAGCTGGACTTTATCTGGTGCTATTTGGAGTCCAGCCTCTTGTAAGGTGACCTGCAGTGCCTGGTAGCACTATAAGGTCTGGTCTTTATTTTTTCCTGCCAAGACGATATCATCCATATAATGAAGGATGTATATGTTTGGCCAATGACCTCTAATTGGCTGTATGACAGCGGCCACGAAAGCCTGGCATAAAGTGGGAGAGTTGGCCATCCCTTGAGGGAGGACACACCATTGAAACCTCTGCATAGGAGCCTGAAAATTAATGCATGGGAGACTAAAGGCAAAGCGTTTTTGATCTTGTGGATGTAGGGGAATTGAGAAGAAACAGACTTTGAGATCTATGACAATTTTGAAAAATCCTAAAGGAATGGCACTGGGTGAAGGAAGTCCTGGCTGTAATGGTCCTATTATAACCATGGTTTTGTTTATTGCTCTGAGATCTTGTAACAACCTCCATTTTCCTGACTTCTTTTTAATTATAAAAATGGGCATATTCCAGGGGGAATCATTTGGTACAATGTGGCCTGCATTTAGCTGGTCCTGCACCAGCTGTTGAGCAGCTGCAAGCTTTTCAGATGTAAGGGGCCACTGATCAACCGAAACAGGGTCATCTGATAACCACGTAATTTCTTTGGCATGGGCCGCAGGAACGTCAATGACCCCTATTGAAAATGGCCTAAGCCTGCTCTTGAAGAGTTTGGGGTTGGGAAATAGGGACTTTAATACCTGAACTCTGTTTACCTAGGCCTTGATTAGGAAGGAATCCCTGAGTGAGCATTTGTTTGGTGACTATAGTATTAAGGCTGCCCATCATCATTCCCATTTGGGTCAGCAAATCTCTACCCCACAAATTAAGGGGTAACCCTTCCACAATGTAGGGCTGTATGTGCCCTTGATTGTTTTCTTTATCTTTCCAGGTAAGTAGATGGCACTATGCTGTGGATTTTTAGATTGTCAAATCCCTTGCAGATGAGTCGTAGTTGTCTCTAGGGGCCATGTGGGAGGCCAGTCCTCTTTTCTAATGATGGCAGCACCTGTATCTATGAGCCCTGAGAAACTTTTCCCATTGAGCAACAAAGCCATAAGGGGTTTATCTTTGGAAATAAATTGAGCCCAATATATATCTGAAGACCCAAGGGAAGAATTTCCCCTACAGGAAGCCATAGCTGCGTTAGAAGTTTGAACGAAAGGCAATAGCACCAATTGAGCGATACGTTGTCCTTGACTAATGGAAATCAGGCCAGAGATAGAAGATGCCATAACAGTAATTTTGCCAATATAGTCATTATCTATGATTCCTGGAACAACTTGTAATCCTTTCAATATTGTGCTGCCGTATCCAAGGACTAACCCACATGTGCCCTTGGGAAGGTGGCCAAAAAACCCAGTAGGGATGGCTTGTATACCCATGTCAGGAGCTAATACTGTGTTGGAGATGGAACAGAGGTCCAGTCCTGCACTTTCTGGTGTGGCACGGAGGAGGTCTGAAACGGATTGTTTCATGCTGGATTGTTTTGTTGCTGTGGGAAAAACCCTATAGCCCCAGGGGTCTGTCTCAAGTTGGGGGTTGGGGCTGACCCCGAATCCCATTTCCCTGCTGGGGGAGGGGATTGCCATCTGCATCTGTCTTTGACCTGCATTCATTAGCCCAATGATATCCCCTTCTGCATTTTGGGCATAAGCTTATAGGTTTTGGTCTTAAGTTATTGTGTTGAGACTTTGGGGCTGTTGGGCAGTCTCTGGCAAAATGGCCCATCTGATCACATTTAAAACATTTGCCATTATTTGTTTTTCCTCCTTGCTTTTACCCAGGTAGGATCTCTTTTATAGCTGCAGCTGTACTTGCAGCTGTGACCTGAGCTTGATGATGGGCAGGGCCTATATCAGCGCACAAGTGAATATAACCTGAGAGATCTTCTTTTTTTCTATATGGTTTGATTGTGGCCTGGCAGGCAGAATTTTCATTTTCATACGCCAAATTGTTTAACTAGGTCAGGGTTGTCCTCAGAGGTGCCAAAAAGACGCTCAGTTGCCTGTAAGAGGCAATCAATGAAAACACAGAAAGGCTCCTCGGGTTTTTGTTTAATTTTAGTAAGAGAAGCAACTCCACCAGAAGGGAGTTTTTTCCGTGCTTTAGTTGCCACCAAGGTGATCTGAGCAAAAAGGCCTGCCTCATATCGCATTTGGGCTTGTTATGTTGCATATCGGCCTGTTCCTGTTAGCATGGGAAGAGTATAATGATTTTTCCTGTTAGCATTATCTTTAGCCAAAAGTTTACACTGGACTTGGAATTCTGCTTTCCAGAGCAGATAATTGCCCCCTGAGAGTGTAGCTCTAGTTAGATCTCTCCAATCATTAGGTGTAATCCAACCTTGGGTTAAGGAGTCTAAAACCACAAGGGTGAAGGCTGCCATGGGGCCATATTGGGATACTGCTGTTTTTAATTCTTTCAGGGCAGTTACAGGGAACAGTGTGTGGGCCCTGTTAGCCTGTGGCCCTGGAGGGTCTGTTTCTGTATCGCTATCATGTAGGTCAGAGTCATTTTCTTCCTCGCTATCATCAATTTCTATTTCCCACCTCTGTAGATGTGGTGGCTATCTATCTCTCCTAGTTGTTGTAGTAGCCCCGTGTTTTGTCCCTTCTGCTTTCCTGACTTGGGGACCGATCCTCATGTCTAGTTCATCCCTTTTGTCTCCCTCTTTCCTTAACTGTTTTGTTCCCACCATTTTGTGGACCAGCGCCATCTTGGGTGGGTTGAGTTGCCTCCCCGCCTTTTTGGGCTAACACCAGCTGTGGCGATCTGGGCGATTTCTGTTACTGGAAATATTAAGTGAGGCACCATTTTTAAGGCATCCGTTTTTGGTGGGTGCGTTGTCTCTGTTACTGGGAACATCATTGCTGGTGCATCTGAGAAGGGATGGGAGCCTACATCTAATGACTGGAGTTGCAAAATGAGTCTCTGTTTCTCCTGTTTCAATTGGAGCCGCTGTTGTAAATAATGAATTTCTGTTTCTAAAGCAAGGAGATCAGGAGGTGGACCAGGAAGCTTTTGGAAGCCAGGCTGGGTGTTATCTGGTTTTCTTGTCAGTATTTTAGTCATTAATTTGGGATCATGGATCCCCAGGGGCTGCAAAAAGGGGTTTCTCACCCTGATATTGCACAGCCTCTTCCACCAATTGCAACCAATCAACCCCTTGGAGCTTAGAAAGGTCAGGGTACTTAGGCCTACATAACAGAGGGGGTGTGGTGGCACCAAGCTCTAAGGAGCACTGGAAGCCACTTTGAATAGCAGGGCCATTTTGAGCATCCCCATGTGCTCTAGAGAGGGGAAGTGACAGCAAGTCGCCATTTTGGGAGTCTCCGGAGGGGGAGCTGCCATCTTGAGGGGGCTCTGGAATACCAAGAACCACAGAGCCGGGAGAGCTGGGTGCCTTGGATAAGTCTGGTGGGTGTGGGGTACAACTGCGGGAGGCAGATAATGCAGCCTCACCCTGAGCAAGCGTCTCTGCAATCTGGGGATCTGTGTGATGTTGCATCAGCAGCTCAGAAATTAAAGTCCAATATGCAAAAGAAGTTACGGGAACCTTTTCTGGACCAAAAACTCTATAATAGTCTTTGAGAGCATCTCCTACTCTTTTCCATCTTTTTGAGTCAATGGTGCCCTCTAGTGTGAACCATGGGCACACAGAATGCACAAACTGAAAGTATTATAATAAATCTTTTGTTTTAACCTTAATCCTTCTGACCTTGAGTGCCTCCCTGAGGCCATTCACGAACAATTCATGCTCACTAAATGCTTGCCCCATGCTAGTAGAGAGATAAGATCCGTTCACCTACCGTGATTCAGGTGAGAAGGCGGCCGTCTGCACGGATCACAGGGACAAAGCCCTTGAATCAGTCATGCTGCGCAGCGATTTACTCCTGTGTATGGTCCCACGTTGAAACCTCTCATGCCAGGCCTAGCCCCCACTCTTGGGTGCCACTTGATCCGGCCTGCGGATCAAGTCATGGGTCTTGCCTGGAGAGAGAACGGGGATGGGGGCTAGGGCAAGAAGAGAGAGGAGACAAGATGAAAAGTTCCAATCATGTATCATTTATTCAGGAAGTGTACATGGCTTATATAAAGTCCAAGGGAATGTGGCTTTATAGGATAGGTCAATTTAGGTCTCCTCATATGATGTGGACTTATCAGATTAGCAGGAAACCATGCGTAGGCAACTAGGTAAGCGGAAGTACATAAGCGTGAGAAGATCATGGGAAATGTCATCTTGCAGCTGTTGGATTATTTCCTGATTTCTTGTTCTTTTTAAGAGATCTTTCCTTTTCTGTTCGCTAGCTGCAATCTTGTCTTTGAGATATGAAATTCTGTCTTCACTTTTGTTGAGGCAGTTTTTACAACTTTCAATGTAATTTTTCATTTCCTGTATATCTCTTTGAATCTGCTTTATATATTCTGTTTGTTTCTTATATTGTTCATCCAGGGACTCTATCTTTTTGTTTTGTTCCTCTGATTTTTTAACTGTGTCTTCTTTACATGTGTTCATCATCTCTGTCATTACTTTTATCATTTCTTCTTTTACCTGGAAGATTATTTCTTGTTTGAATTCCTTTAAGTTTCCTGCTTCTTTATTTCAGTTACTGTTATTTCAGGTATTTCAGGCATATGGCATGTATTTTCTTCTATGTACATGGCTCCTAGGCTTTCTTGAGATGGGCTGGATGTTTGAGATTGCATTTTGGTCTTTCATTTTGTCATTTTCCTATATTTTCGTATTTCAAGTGTTGTTCCAAAGCTTCCCTTGGGTGTGTTGGAAATTGTCTCCTATGTCCTGGTCTCCTGGACTCCTCTGGTAGTGTAGCTCCCTTCTTGAGCAGTGAGGACCTGGATTTAAAGAAGGTTGCCAGGCTCATCTAAGGTAGGCCTAAGGCCTCCTCAAGCTGCACAGCTCCCCCATCTGGCAGCAAAGCTCCCTGGATGGAAAGAAGGCCATGAATCACGCTAAGGCAGGCCTGAATCACGCTAAGCCTAATCTAGTGTGGCTGCAAGCCGAGTGGGCCCCCAACCACCTAGAGCAAGGATCTCAAACTCTCCCGGGGATCAGATGTTGTGCAATCATCCACCTCCTCGGGTGGCAAAGCTTCCCGGGCTGAAAAGGTCACCCCTATGGCCTAGGTAGCCTCAAACCTCCTCCACAGGGCTGCTTCTTCCTCCAGGCAGGGGCAGTAGTGCTGTTGCTTTCCAGGCCGAGTGAAGGTTGCCAGCAAGGCCCAAGCAGGTTCCCACTTCTCAACTCAGCTCCCTCCAGGTGGGGCAGCTGAGGGGGCTTTCCAGGCCAAGAGAAGATTGCTGGCAAGGCCAGAGTTGGTTCCTGTGGCCTGGCTCAGCTCCCTCCTCCAGTTGGAGTAGCTTGGGTGTGCTCTCTAGGTGGAGAGAAGGTTGCCAGCCAAGGCTGTATATTGTTAAAGTTTGGGAAATGCCAGGCCTGGTGGCATATGCCTGTAATATCAGCATTACACAGACTGAGTCAAAAGATTCTCAGTGTGTTCAAAGCCAACTTGGGCTACACAGTGATTTCAAGGTCAGCCTGAACTACATAGTGAGGCCTTGTCTCACAAAAATTTAAAAAAAAGAAAAAGAAAAAAAAAGTTAGGGAAAACACAGTGTTTAGGCCATATCCTGCCTGCCTGATTTTGTTAGTGACGGTTTATTGGAGCACATCCACTCCTTTTTGTATTTTCTATAGTTACTTTTGGGTGACAAAAATACAGTTCAGCCTTTATCACAAGACAATATGACCACAAATCCAAACTCCTTACTACCTGGCTTTTCACATAAAAAATCCTGAATCTTTATTGTTCAGAAATAATTAGGCTTATCTTCAGTTTTTCATAGGTATTCTCTAGTACTTTCTGGTGCCAATGCATGTTACCAGCCTGTCTGCTTGTAGTAATAATTATTATATGCATCTATTTCATTAAGAGATTAAAAAAAACTAACATTGACTTTGACTATATATGTACAGGTTAAAAAGTAAGAAGAATGGATTCTTACTTGCAAAATATTTAAAAATTAATGTGTCTCTGTAATTGATTTCCTAGATAGATTTAGAGAAATCAATTTGCTCTTTACTTTATAGAGGCATCCTTTTTTAATAATTGTTTCCTGCAATTTTCCCCTCATCATTGTAATTGGTGCTGAAATAAATATTCATTTTTCTAACATTAAATGTCCTTCCCCTTTTTTATTCATTGCAACCTATGCCTTTTATGTACATACAATTAGGAAAGGAAACGTTAAGAATCCACCCTCAGTCAGCTCCTCCTCCTATCATTTCTGGTTCACGTAGGACAGAGACTCAGCTCAGATTTCTGGAGAAATCTTGCATGTAATAGAGCAAGAGTTGCTTTAAGTTTGTCCTGTACACTGAGGGTTTTCTGGATTCATAAGAAATGAATCTTGGCACTCCAAAATAGACAATGAGGAGCTGGTTTGATTCTGGTCACTTGAAGTGTATCTTGTCACATCCTCAAACCATCTTTACTAGAGCTCATGAGCAAATATATGGTATGAAAAACTCACATCTTAATGAGGAAGGGTAAGGAAAGTACTGTACATTTCTAGACTTTCCCTTGAAGTATTGCTGGAAGTTGTTAGTGAATTTGAAGTCATAGCAGAAGGGAAGATTATTAAATAAGATCAGATTTTGCCAAATGGAAACAATGTAACAGTGTTGGTGCTTGGAAATGATCTTGAAATACTAATGACTTACTTATGTTAGACTCCAGTTTGTCCTATACTGACAAAAAATGATGGTTTTAATTTCAACATTAAAATCTTATAATGCTGATTTGCTTTAAAGATGTATTGTAAGTTAATTATGTTTATTTTGGGAAAAGAAGGAAATTATTTTGGACTAAATACTTAACAACTGTATTTTTAAAAAATGAAATGGCACATGTTTCAGTGTCAAAGCATCTGCCTTTTGGTCATATTAACTAATATTGAATTTCCATAATGATGTCCCTGCAGTTGGGATAAAATATCATAGTACTACCGTGGTTGCCATTGAATAAGAGAGCATAATAAATCTTTTGTTTTAACCTTAATCCCTCTGACCTTGAGTGCCTCCCTGAGGCCATTCACGAACAATTCATGCTCACTAAATGCTTGCCCCATGCTAGTAGAGAGATAAGATCCGTTCACCTACCGTGATTCAGGCGAGACATAAGGCGGCCATCTGCACGGATCACAATGGTATCTACCTCGATCTCATAAAGATCATCTGTGGCAAACCAACAGTCAACATTATACTAAATGGACAAAAACTGAAAGCCTTCACTCTAAAATCAGGAACAAGACAAAGATGGCCACTATCACCACTCCTGTTCAATACAGTTATGGAAGTATTAGCCAGAGCAATCACAAAAGAGAGACAAGTTAAAAGAATAAAGATAGGAATGGAAGAAGTTAAATTATCATTATTTGAAGATGACATGAGACTTTATATGAAAGACCCAAAAAAGTTCATTAAAACACTACTACAAGTGATTAAAAAAATCAGAAGCATAGCTGGATACAAAGTCAATGTGCAAAAATCAATAGCACTCCTGTACAGAAACAAAAACTCACTTAGAAGTTATGGAAATATCACTTTTCACAATGGCATCTAAAAAATGAAATATCTAGGAGACAACCTTACCAAGAATGTAAAATACCTATTTGTTGAAAATTATACTATTATAAAATAGAAGATCAAAGAGGATATTAGAAAAATGGAAGGATATTCCTTGCTCTTGGTTAGGAAGTTCCAACGTTGTGAAAATGGCCATACTCCCAAAACTGTTATAAAGATTTAAGGCAATCCCAATCAAAATACCATTAACATGCTTTACAGATCTAGAGAAAACAAGCATAAAATTCATTTGGAAACAGAGGAAACCTAGAATAGCAAAGGTGATTCTGGGCAACAATGGCAAGGCAGAAGGCATCTCAATTCCTGATTGAAACTGTACTACAAAGTGATAAAATCAGCATGGTACTGGCAAAGAAGTAGACCTGACGATCAATGGAGCAGATTATAAGATGCAAGCACACCTGCAAAGACACTCACCCAACCTATATTTAACAAAGGGGCTACACATGTTCACTGGAAAAATAATAATAAATGGTGTTGGCAAAATTGGCTTTGTACATGCCAAAGACTGAAACTAGACCCATGTCTGTCATTGTGCACTAAACTAAAGTCAATATGGATCAAAATCTAAATATTAAAATGGAAACACTGAATCTATTGAAGCACAAGGTAGCTAGAAACTTGGAAACATAAGAGTAGGCAGAGACTTCATGAACAAAATGAAAACTTCACAGGAAATGCTTCAAAGAATTGAAAACTGGAATCTCATCTTATTAAAAAGTTTTTGCACTTCAAAAGAAATCACCCACAGAGTGCAAACAAAGACCACAGAATGGGAAAGAATCTTAGCCAACAATCCCTCAAAGAACTTATATCCAGAATATATAAAGAATTGAAAAACATCAAGCCCCCCAAATTCAAAGACCCTCTCCAAAAATGACCATCTGAGATGAACATCAGTTTCTCAGATGGGGGAGAACATGGTGGACAGATAGCAGCAGCTACGGAGGCTCTCTGAAACACCCAGCTTAGAATTCAGGAATGGTGCTGAGTAAGGAATCATAAACAAGAGGAGATATGCCCCAGTGACCCAAGAACGAACTGGGCTGAGAGAAACCAACTGGGAATGCAATCCTGGTGCTATAACAGGAACAGATAAAGCCTCAGCATGGAAGCTGGAGCCTGCACCATTGGAAGCCACGATTTGGGTTTCCCACCGCTGCCACTGCTGCATCTACATCGGCTGGGCAGGGAGAGAGACACACTGAAGCTCTGAGAATGGGAATTAGTGAATGGAGTTGAAAGCAGGACGGGCAGGGAGCTGTGCATTGACTTGCGGTGAGTGAGAGAAACTGGAACTCTTCCATGGTTTAGGAGACTCCAACAGAGGACATTCTGGGACCGGGCAGACTTGCGGGAACAGTGCGCTGCAGTGACTT